CTTTCTCACCAAAGAGGCAGTAAATCATCATGATTGGTATCTAGGCCAAGAAGCAACATTTTTCAGAGCTTCAATTGCTCTTTACTTTCATTGGCTCAAGAGTCCATTTTGGTTTAGAAATAAGCTTAATGCAATAAAGCTTGTTTGTTTTCTTAAAGGAACCATGAGCAGAAAAGCAAAATATCATCCACCACTGAAGGCTTTTGGAAGAAAATTCTGCTTTGCCCATGTGCAAATTTAAACTGTCTCCCCCTGGATTGTTGCACTGTATCAAAATCATTTCCTGTGGGAACTGCCAGTAGTGATTAGCACAAGGAAATTCTTTTGATTTTTTTTTCCATTGCAGTTTGGTCTAAATTGAAGATTATCAAGAGCTAAAGTTCAAAGTGAATCTGATGTATTTATCTGTATATTCTGTGGAGCAGGGATAGAGTGCTTCAGAAAAAAAAGAAGACTGGCAAATGTTCAAATTTAACCAGCAGGCTCTGATTTTTTTGATTGAGGTGCCAGATTTTCTTGAGGTAAATAGAGACAAAGAAACAAACGAAAATAGAGCTCTTGTGCTATATTCCTCTCCAAAGTATTTAGTCCTCAGGAATGTCTGTGGTAATTGAAATATTTTGAATATTCAGCTTAACTAGGATTCAGGGATCTAGAAGGTTTCAAAATGTTACCATTAAAATCCTTGAGGTCATAAGAGCCTGGCTCACTATCAGTTTGTTGGAAAACTTAGGAGATGCAGTGGAATTTCTATTAATTGTGCATGTAAGTCCTATATGGGACAAAAGACATTTTCCTTAATCAACTAGAACTTATGGGAGCAAAAATATTTAGTACATCACAAGTAGCAAAACTAATCAACCCAACTTTACTATAAAGTTATAACCTGCAGACCTTTGAGACCCACATTGATTCGGAATGCAGAAGAATTATGGGATTAAGAGTATTTTCTAAGATAAATTTAAATTACTGTCTTTACCCTGTGTGTTCTATTCTGAAGTGTACAGCCATGAATCAGAGCTGGATTCACAGAAAAAAAAAGAGGGAATCTGTGCTAGTTACATGAAGGAGTTGTTTGAATGTGTGAATCATTCAGCTCTAGAAAGGAATTGCATTGAGGTCACAAAAGGATTGTTAATGAAAATTTCTCTATATGAAGATGGACAAGAACTCCCCTTAATTGCATCATGGCTCACCTCTCAGAGGTCCAGTGAGCTTACTTCATGTTGAACTTATGTTACTTCGTGTTGCAAACCATGATATTTCCTTTTTTGAACTCTCATATCAAATGCTGTGTTTATTTTTTTAAGGCACAACTCTAAGTCAATATTAATTTAGTAATTGCATGGGTTTATTGGTTGTATTTCATGACTATCCTAAGCACTTAACAATGAGAAACTTGTTCTTTAAGTTAATGTTGTAACTGGTTATATCAGTGAACACATTCTCATGCACAGTTTTTTTAAATCATTCTTACTTATGTCTGAAATAAAAGTTAAAAACAAAACAAAAGAAGAATAGATCAGGTACTAATGTTGCAATTTAAACATATTTGAATTTTCTAATGCCCTTCGATTTTTCATAGCTTTTAAAGGTATCATTTTTATACGTATTTTAATCTTGCTGAATATATCTGCATAATAAGAAGAATAATAAAATTAAATTAAACCTGATTTTAAAAAAAAGTCTTTAAAGTTGTGGTGGGGAATAGTTGTCATTTCTGGCTTTCTTGAAGGTCTAGGACTATATTACAAGAAACCCATTTTTCCTTGTCATGTCTTCTTTGTCTCACTTCCTTTTTTACCTTAGTCTTGCTGGCCTGTTCTTGTCAGATGCCTTACTTCTGAGAAATTGCAATCCATTACCTTTTTTCCTTTCCACAGTCAGCCTTCCATGCAGAGGAAGAAGCACTCCGTGCCAGACCCTGGCTGATTCTGGTGTCCCTCTTTCTTTATTCTGAAAAGATCTAATTGCCACCAGTAAAAGGTTGCTTATGTACATACCAGATGAAGCCAGTGGAGTCTTTTTGTTGCTAGTGAATAGTGTTATAGAATTTCTTTGGGGCTATGGAAAATGTTCTTGCCCATCAACAGTAAGATACCTAATGCAGTTATCTAGCCAGTAGTCCTAACTCAAAATGTAGTCTATAAAAGTGGGGAATAACCTCCCTTTCTACTGAAACTGTATCTTTCTCTGTCAAGTTTAACAGAGATGTAGTAGCAGACTTTCTGTAAGTGTTCAAGTCTGGATTGACAGAGAAACTTAGATCTATAAGTGCCATTGAAATGCCTCCTGAGTGTCTTTCAGGACCTAGTACTCCTTTCTTACACAGAGCAAATTAGGCACACTGCAACAGAACAAAAATGTCCTAAAGGAGTTGTAAAATTTTCATGATTGCATTTATTAAATTTAGCTGCTTTGGAGAGCATGGATTAGTGTGTTCAGAAAAGTTCTAATTGATAAGCTGAATGCCTTGCTAACTGATCTTAAAACAGAAATTGATTTTGTTTCTGTTCTTCCCAAACCAGTGGGTCTGCTTTCCTGTCCTGTGAGTGCAAACTTACCCTAGGCTTAAATGGATGGGAGAATTTGCAGGAAAGGAACCTGTCCTTTAGCTTAAACAACTGGGTAAACAACTGATCTGTGTGACCTCAGCTTACATTAGTCATCAGGTTATTATTCACAGACAAAGATCATTTTTATTAATATTACTGTCTTTTTAGTTAGTTTTTTTAATTTGTTTTTGTTTATATTACCTCTACTGCTCTTTATCAAGTTTTTTCTTGGATGCTGCACTGAACATGATTAAAATTTTCTGTTCAGGAGTCTGTATCCATAGAAGTACAGAACTGACTTTTTGTTGCTGCTGATAGGAAGTATGAGAGCTGGGAATATACTTAGAGGTAACTTAATGTCTGTGAATTACTTCAAGCCACCACAGTACATTGTTTAATGTGATTTGAAAAATGACTGGCAGAGAGTGTTTTCAATATGTTATCTTTTCCTTCTAGTTTATCCGAGTAACCAGTTGTATGTGGCAGGTGTCTGAGGTGCAACAGAGAAACTGGAACATTAGTGTGTGTCAGCTTGTGCTTAATTAGATATCTCTACACTGGGGAATAGTAGTTCCCACAATGAATCTGTTACATGGAAGGAAAAAGTAGATGACTTTGCAGGAAGATAATAAGGAACTGGGCTGTTAAATCTGTTCTTAAATGGTTTTGCTTTATTTTACCTGTTGCTCCAAATAAGCAGCAAGGCTTGTAAATGTTCATCATTACAGCCAGAGATACTAACCCAAATCTAAATTGCTCTTTTCCTTACAGCTGAGCTAACAGAGATATAGGTAATGATTTTTACAAATACCCCTTCAAATTAAGTCGATTCATGTGAATCTTTGTGGGATTATAGCTGGTATGTTGCTAAGGTGCCTCTTACATGTTCCAGAAAGCCAGCAGTAACCTGCTACTGAGACAATGGCTGTGGCCAGCAGGTACCTCATACACACTGGCAGCATTTCTGAGCAACAGGTACACAGTAAGGACTATTCAACACACAAACTTCACCAGTCGTATTTCTTGCAGTATGGAAGTGTCTGATGTTGACTTGGTGGACTTATGTGAGTTAGCAATTTATTTTTTTTCATTGGTATGTCATTACATTCAAAAAAGATTACATCTGTTTCAGAACATAAAAAAAATATGAAGCCACATTAGGCTATTTATACGTGGGACTTTAAAGGCAGAACTGCAAATTGTGCAGAGCTGTTGCTGATTCTTGGACTGTCATTTATTCAAAACACATATTGCAGTGCAACTGATCGACCGAACTAATCTTTATGGTAGCATTACTTCAGTAAGGTGGGGGCTTACTCCTTTTTCTGCAATATTATAATGATGCTTGTCAAAGATGCACTCTTTTTATGCCTATCTGACTGAAGAGTTTATGTAAAAGTAATACATGAAGCAAAAATTAGAATGAGTCAGAAAGTGACTGTAGCTGAAGAAAATTAAAAAGCAGAATAATGGCACTTGTTCACTGTCACTCCTAACACCATCAAACTGAGCTGCTCCTTTCTACTAGAGATTGTCCCAACCCATCTGACCTGTACAATTTTCCCATAGCCAGGGAATTTGGATGAAGACTTTGTGTGAATCCTATTACTCTCTGTATTGCACAAGTAATAAGAGCTTTCCTCCAAAACACATTTTGCTGGATAATTCTATTATCCATCAACATGGAACAATGGAACTGTACTTGCCAGAATTTACGTCTTGGCTAATTATTTCTGCTTTTTAAAGAAAATTAATTTCTAAGCTTCTGTTTTATCCTGGCAACAGGCCCAAGTCTTTGGTAACTGAAAACAAGTCTTTGCATATCCTTAATTGACAGCTCGTCCTCTTTTTTAATTTTACTTCCCTTTTTTTCCTGTCTATCTTCCCATTCTTAGGGGGTTTTTTAAACTACTTCTATTACATCCTTTCAGCATTGATTTCCTATATGTTCTTCCTTCTTTTCTCTGTTTACTGGGTTTCTAGTCCTAACATGTCTTTTACTAGTGCAAGAATGTTTATCAAAATACTACTATCTGTGTGTTTACGTGACTAACATACTGTGCCATGTCCTTATGCAATCAGATCTAGAGTCTGATCAAAATGTTTTAACTCGTGGCACTGAGTTCACTCAAGGTCTCATGTCCCAGACAAATTGCACATGCCTTCTAACCAATTTGGATAAACAAATACTCTGAGGAGAGTCTGAGATATCTTTTTCATAAGATTTAATTTCTTCGACCTTCCAGAACCTCAGGCAATTCAATGTATAACTATTCTCCACTTTACTAAACATAAATCTCTTTCTTTTCAAATATATATGTACACACATGCACACTTATTTATTTATAGCTAAATAAGGTCATAAAAAAACCAAAAAATCTAGGATGTTTTAACTATTTCATTGACTTTTCAGATTGTTTTTAAGCTGTTTTTTAAACTTTAAAGGCAACACTGATAGTGAACGGTTCCAAATGGTAAAACAGAAAATCCCCTTCAAATATAACCGGCCTGTAGAGGAGTGGCTGCAGGAAAAAGGTAACAGTCATTAAAACTTTCATTTTAAACCCATTTGATTCTAAACCCTCATTTTTAAAGCCTGCGAATAAATGTTTCTTAAATGATAATCGCCTGCTGCATAAATGACTGTTTTAATTTTCATTATAATTTGTGTCAGCTTCCACCTGCCATATGTTGATAAATCATGCTATAATACATTGCTATTAAAATGCAGTTAAAGGGACGAAATTCTAAGCTTGCTATAATAGTAATGACAAACAAGCAAAAATTCAGGAGATGTTTTGTAAAAAAAACAAACCAAAACAACAAACCAAGAAGAGTGAAGAGCAACAACATGTATTATGGCAATTTAACCACTGCATGATTTGCCTATTTTGATTTGGTTTTAAGCTACATTTATATATTTATTATCAAAGTTTTCTTAAGAGATTTTCAAACCTACTTGTTAAACCACTTCCTTTACGTTTCTTTTTTTGTCATGAGTCTCATTAGCCACTATGGCTATGTATTTCCTAATTGTATTAAGATAATTAAACAAATTTAAAAAATGTTGTAAAGAAAACATTTTTTAACATTTTCATTTAAATTACAGTGAGTGAGACAGAGAAAGATGATTGTTCTGTCACTTTGATGCTATGTCTAGAGCACAGTTTGAACACCCAAATGATACATTTGTCTAAATTATGGATCAAATTCTTCCCTAACTTAATCTCAGGCAGTGCTACTTAATTTTGTGGGTTTGCCTGAAGTAATTGGCCTCAGTTCAGCAAAAGACTTAACATGAGTAAATCCAGATGACTGGAGTCAGAGTACTGCATATGGTCCATGACCTGTTGAAATAAGACTTGTGTCAGAACAGTAATGTTTCATTTGTCAGGAATTTGGAGGGGGACAAAATCTTGGATGTAGAGCCCATTCCAAAGCCTGTTGAGGATAACAGAATAACTTACTGATTTCAGTAGGGTTTGGACTGGGCTCTTGGTAATACAGTGAAGCTTAAGTCAGGAAGATCTTCTCCCTCTATACTAAATGTGGTATTAAAAAAAATCACCGTAACTAAGTCCTTGCCTTGAAATCTAGAAAAAGCAGAACACGATCTTCTCTTGTTTCCTTTTGTGAAAGTACTTCTGATAAAAAGGGGTAACCTTTGAAATCAGATCTTGCATTTTCTGTGCTGATTTATACTGTGGTTGTTAACACATTTTCCAAGAAGGAAAACTAGTCTTTCATAGGATTGGAAAAACATAATTTTTGTTCTGTTTCAAATTTCTATCCTCAGCTGAATTAACAAATTGATTTACCCAGTATGAATTAAGTTAAGGTCAGAAAGGATGTGGCTAAATACAGTCAAAACATTTTTATGTGAAGGGCCTGATCCTGCAAAGTGTTGTGCACACTCAGTTCCTGTTGACTTCCAACAAGAGCTGACAGTATTGCTCACTTTTCAGGTTTGGTTTACAACAGTGTAATGTTCATAACTACAGCTAAAGTATTTGTGAAAGTAAAACAAAAATATTTGTGTAACCAAACCAGACATATTTTATTACCACCACTGTCTTATGAAACAGTTAATTCAGCTACATTATAAATAAATTTGAAGAAAATGGTATACAGAAAATGCTTATTGAATCTCAGTGGGTTGCCCTGTTAATTTACAAGATCAAACTAAAATACATAAATAAAGTTTAACCCTAAAAAGAAAATAATTTTGGTAAGTCTGAATTGCTAAAGTCCCTTTAACACTAAAGTCAATGATTGCCTCAATTTTCTTAAGACAGATGCATGTCTAGTTCCTTGATGCAATTCATGTGCTTGAGAAATCCATATTGGTTTTCTTTTGGTTTGGTTTTGGGGTTGGTTTTTTTTTCCTTTTTGCTTTTCCACCAAATCTTTTCTTTTATGTCACTGCTTCTCCAAGTTTGAGCTTAAAAGCATGCCAAAGCACTTTCATTTGTACGCCATCCTGACATTTTGATCTGAAGTCTACCTTTTTTGAATATTGATGCTTTGTTAAAAGACAATCACACATGCACTAGGGTCTAAAAGAGACAATATTTGAGTGTTCAGTCACTCTCAAAGCAATTGAGTGTTGTTAGGTTAGAAGGGTAGAGCTATGTTTTTTCTAAAGTGAAAGGAAATTCTGTCTTCAGGACATGACATTGTGCAGTATAACACCTGAGACAACATAGCTTTGTTCCTTCATTCCAAAGTAGATGTTTTCAGCAACTTAGGTACCACTCAAATTAAAATATTATAAGAATGAGTAATTTACGTAGCTGTTCACCAACCTGCTCACCCATCTGGTCATCCATCTAACAATTAATGTAACGTGGAAACCTTCTGTCAGAAGACTTTATAAAGATGATGAGTGAAAGGGTAGCTTGCTATCAAAATGGAACAAGATGAACTGATGGATGGAGGACTAGATTAATTAAAGAGACAGCATATAGAATAGCTGTCTTACCCATATGAGTTCACGGCTTGAGTGAGGTAAGATCAAATGCTTTTTGACTGACATTTTTGAATGCCATAGATTTGATCTTCCTTTGCTATGTTATTCATGATAATGAAATAGTTCATTCTTGGAAAACAAATATAACACAACATCTTCCTGAAGCAGCATTGTTACTGGTGTTGGGTGGGGGTGGTTAAATTTTACTAATGAGGTTAAAATATATTTAAGATGAGCCCAGGTTTACAGTCTTGAGTTGTATGAATAATAAGCAAAATATGAAATGCTATTAACTTCACTGAGATTATGTATGTGGATATAAAAGGAATTATTCATCTTCAATTGTTTAACTTAAGTAGTCATAAATCCAGCAGACTTCCTTAGCAGAACACCTGGTGTCTGCTAAGGCACAGATGCTGCCTGTTCTGCAATTGGATGAGCTAATAAAGGCCCAGAAACATCTCATCAAAAAGTCTGATCCCAGAAATCCTTGTTTATTCAAATCTCTCTTAATTACCTGTAAAGTCTCATTGATATAAGTGATTGTACTTTTGAAGTAAGAACTCTTAGTGTGAATTAGAATTTGCAAAATCGGGCCCAAAATCTTAATAAACAATATATTTCTGTAACTAGGGTTACAGAAAAGTTACACTTCACTAAGATTTCCTGTGATCCTTTTAATGAGAATTCAGTTTTCCAAATGAAGAAGTCAATGAGAGAGCAAACAAGAAAACAAAAGCCTGAACTATTCAGAATGTTTAAAAAAAAACCTCAGAAACTTAAAATATGTTCGTAATTTTACTTCAATATGACACTAAAATAGCAGTAGGGAGAGTTCTCTGGAAAAAAAGGACTGTAATTCTACAATCCTGAACACCTAGTAGAATTTCCTAATGTAAACAGTTTCTCAAGAAAATTCAGTGGCCAAATAAATTTTACTTAGGGGAAGTAAGGGCTTCAGATTGATCTCATCAAAAGAATAATTCAAGGAGACATATGGTAGCAGAATTAAGTGTTTATTCTCTCAACAGTTTTTTCTCATTCCGTATGCATTTCCCTGTTGTCTTTATTCATGCATGTGTACACCACCTTAGAGTGAAGAGTGAAGAATGACAGGTTGTAGGTGACTGCAGCAAGTGATTGGGGTTTTTTTAGCAAACACACTTCTAGTGGTGCAGTGCATGAATCCTGGTCTGAAAAACCACTTAACAAACAATGAAGACTCCAAAACACACAATCAGACTTCCATTTTTACTAGAATGCAGTCACCTCCTTGGTGTACACTTTCTTTCAGCATTAGAAGATGCAAAGGAAGGCCCAGAATTGGAGACATGGTCTTTTTTTCAGCCTTAATTTACTAACTCCTCATTCTTGAAAATAAGGCAAAAGATATGGCACATATATAAAGCTGTGCTATGAGCTTGGGATAGAATAGATGACATCCTGAGGAGAGTTGCAATTCTCCAGTAAAAGTGACAGAACCTCTTTTCTGTCCTGGTCTGAGGAGCTCTCCTACCCAGAGCAGCAAAAATTCTCATCATCTTCCACCTTTTTCCCTTTGGCAAAAGATGAAAAAAGATACAGTATTGATTCAAGGGGATAAAGGAATGGGAATGGAAAACTTTGAACTGTCAGTACCTTCCATGCATTTTCAGGGATAACATCTCAAGTTTAATGAAATAACTCCCTCTTCTTTACTCATCTTGCCTCTAATTTTTGGCACTTTTACCATGAGTAAGGTGGGAAGAAGGGAACAGTAGCGAGTGACATGTCTGGGTTCATAAGAGCGGGGACAATATGGACAGAAATATAGTGCTAGAAGGAGAGAACATGTTAGGAGAAGGGAAAACGGTGTACTGAAGATCTTACAGCGTATCCATTAAAAAATCCAAAGCACAACAGGACAGAGAAGGAAAGCACACTCTGAGGACATGGTATGGGACAAAAATTTGCCCTTCTACAGTGTACAGTGCCATTTCCTCTAAATCAGACTGGAACTGGGCTGAGAGAGCTGAATATCTTGACAGATATTGTTATTGGATCCTGTTTTCCTCATAGGCAAGAGTAAAGGCTCTGCTTACATTCTGAGGATGTGTGGTTTCAGTGCATGTTTGTTGATGTTTAAATAGACATGTTGCCTCTGGTAAGTTTAAAACCTCCTGAGATGCAGAATATCGCATCAGGTGTTTCAACACTTTCCAGGGGAAGGATACCCTCCATTTTTATTTCTCATTTCTTCATCAATGCAGTTACTCCACCCTGATCAAGACCTAATTTTTCATTTAAAAATCCGTGGGTGAGGAACACAAGGGATGTGCAGCCCACCTCCACATGTCTCTATGTTACACCTCTCCATACACTTTTGCTTAGTTAGCTTGGGCCCTCTTTGGGGACAAGAACTACTTTCAGATACATTTCTTCTCTTGTCCCCATTCTCTTCCCCGTGGTCCATCCTGTCACCATAAGATGATGCTACACCGCATCACCACTTGACTTCGAGACCCGTCACGACGACCACCAAAATTGGTGAGCTCCCCCTCGTATTTTGATCTACTCTAACCACTGGCTGTGAAAGAATGAGCAGTGGGTTATAGGCTGTGCTTTGCTACATGGTGGCATTCTGCACCTTTCATCAGGTTGGACTAGAGAGAGAAAGTGGCGAGTGAGAGCTGGGAAGTGGGAATGGGATGGGGACACATATTTCAAACTTCATAAAAATGAGAAAACACAGTAAGATATCTGAATGATGATTGACTTGATGCTGCATTGATAACCCTTCTGAGCTCTGTCCAGTCTGGTTGTGTGTTAATGCAACAGATTCCATGCCCCTAATTGGAGGAATAGGGAAGTGATAGGCACTGCCTTTGCACTTCATGAAGCAATTTATTTCTTAACATGTTCAACCTAGTGCAGCCTGAGGCATAAAGAGGGTTTATAAAGCAGTCCAGGCTGAATGTGATGTAAGTGTCCTGCAAAATGAGGTGCATTGGCGATTGTTAGTAGATTTATTTTTAATAAATGTGTTTTTTATTACACATGATATTAGACCGCTTCTAGCACTCAAAGTGTGACCTTGACTAAACCACTTAACCTGCCTACATTTGTCTGTAGGAGGGGAGTCATGTGTAAGGCATTTTGGGGCTTAACTATCTGAAGCACTATGTTATCCTCACTATTTCAAAAACTTTGCTCTTTCACAGACATCACCAATGTTTGCATTTTTTGTTCCTTGGGTATAGGTTTGCAAGCCTTCACAACACAATGTTTACAGGTAGAAGATCATGACTGATCCTGTCATAAGATTCCTGCTCAATCCTTGAACACAGTAAAACATTAGAAAAACCTGATGTATAAGTCACCCCTGAAAACCTTTGCATTATTAAAAGTGGCTTTATCCTATCCTTTAACCAGTCAAAATAGAAGGTTTATTTTGGGGCTAAAATTTGACAGGTAGTGCCATCTGACAGTAGAAAAATAGCCACATATTGAAGTTCTATTAGCAGTTTAAAATGGGTCCAAATCTAAAAGAGTGGGTTCAAATTTCTGACTGAGTCAAAGTTCCTCCAGAGTTTTGGTATGTGAGTGGATGCTGAAGTATCGAGTTCAGTTTTAGGTGTTCTTGCTTTCAAGATAATCTTCCTTATTAATGAGCTTTAGGCAAAACATTTCCATACTGTTTTTCTGCAGTCATCACTACCAAGAATGAATCTACTTCTTTTATTTTGTCCATCATTTCTGGCCAGGATTCAATGTAATATGCAAAGTGAAGGAAATGTCTGGCAATAATGTTCTTCACCCCCCTTCACTAGGACGACAGTTAACGATCTTCAACACCCAGGCGCAAATAGCCATAGGAGGGAAGGACAGAGGGCGTCTCTTCCAAGGCCAACTCTCCGGGCTCTATTACAATGGCTTGAAAGTGCTGAACATGGCGGCAGAGAACAACCCCAACATTAAAATCAATGGAAGTGTCCGACTTGTTGGGGAGGTCCCTTCCATCTTGGGAACAACACCCACAACCTCTGTGCCACCAGAAATGTCTACTACCGTCATGGAAACCACAACTACGATGGCGACCACTACAACCCGAAAAAATCGTTCGCCGCCCAGCATCCAGGTGAGTCAAAGAGTCTTCTGCATTTCTTCAGGTTCTTGATTAGTCTTGCTGCTCACTTCTAAGTTCATGGGATACATGCTTTCTGAATCATGCTCCATGTAACTATTTTAATAATATTATATAGGGTAAATCAGCACAAAATGTTGTTCTCCTCTGTTGGAGAACAAACAGCTAGATGAATTGTTACGGCACAAGTACGTTATAATGGGGACAGATTTTGCTCCTGTTTTAGTGCCACCCCATTTATGGAAGTAGGAGTGCACCAATGTGAACAAGAACATGTTCCTGAAGTCCATATGTGTGGAAGTGTATTCCTAAGAGAGTTACAAAGCTTAATGGGAAGTGGGTGTATGGTTATTTATTATTATGACAGTATGTACTGCTGCAATAGTGAAGTTTATAATGGGAAGAAAAGCAATGGAGCACTACTTCCAGTTAGAGTAATTTTTCATTTCCCTTTTATAGCCTTCCTGTTGAGAATTTTAAAGGAACACTATCAAGATCAGTTTCTTGCAAAATGTAGGTGTTCCATCATAGAGCTGTTCCAATCTATTTGGTAAAAGTCATCCCTACAAAAAAATTAATTTCATATATCCTGACTTAATTGTGCCAATGTAGTGTTTTCGAGCCTAAAATGCATTAGTTTTGGAATCACTTTTCTGTCAGCCAGAATGTGGTACTGATTAGAAATAGGCAGCTTCAATTGGCTCTCTGTGCCTATACAAAGAAAAGAATCCTGTAAATAACCAATCTGAGCTGTGGATGAGATTCTGAAAATTATTTATTTCAGTGGTGTAGTATCATGTTATCAACTAGAATGAAACATTTGTTTTGAAATCATTAAAGAGTGAGGTGGAGTTACTGCAGAGACTCTAGCAAAGTGCCTCAAAAATGGTTAAGGGACTGGAGCATTTCTTCTATGAGGAAAGGGTAAGTGAGCTGGGACTGCTCAGCCTGGAAAAGAGAAGGCTCAGAGGGGATCTTGCCAGTGTGTGCAAATACCTGAAGGAAGAATGTAAAGACAACAGTGGTGCCCAGTGACAGGATCAAAGGCAATAGGCACAAACTGAAACGCGGGGCTTTCCCTCTAAACATCAGGAAACACTATTTTACTGTGAATGTGACTGAGCACTGCACAGGCTGCCCAGAGAGGCTGTGGAGTGCCCATGCTGGCAAATATTCAAAAGCCATCTACACATGGTCCTGGGGAACTAGCTCTGGGTGATTTTACTTGAGCAGGGGGTCAGCCTAGATGACCTCCAGAGGTCCCTTCTAACCACAACTATTCTGTGATTCTGTGAGGTGCCTCTGGCCACAGTGGAATTTAGAACTATTAGAGTAATTAATTTCAAGCTAAGGTTTAACTGTGCCCCCTTTGGTACTCTGTAAATCCAGTTGGCAGTGGGACTGGGATTAATTGAGCTATTAGCCTCAAGCACTCGATAGCTGATTTATAAAATCTCAGCTAAATGAGGGGAAATTACCCAGGTTTGGTCACTGTTTGTTAAAAACTTCCAAAGGATTGCAGTTCTTTCTGATCAGTGACTAGTTCTAATTTTAGAGAAATTGTTTGTACAGATAGATCTCCAGAAGTATAAAGTCTGTGATTCTTATCCTTACCTCTGCAATTTTTAAAGACAGCAGAACTATGTTTAGCTATAGCAGTGTAGCAGAGAGTAGCACTGGACCTTAATGGGCTGGATTAAGCTGGAAATGACACTGGCTTACTTGAAGAGGAACTCTTCCAGAAAGCTTCCTGCCTAGCCTACATGGCAGCTCACTCAGCCTACAGAGACCACTGTGTGCTGAAAGAGTATCAAGAAGATTTAATAAAATGTCAAAGTGCTTCTAAAAACATGGTTAGAGCAGCGATTTCCTGGATACACATGCACCACAACAAACAGCCTCATCTCAGATGATATTAAAGCAATAACTCTTTGACGCTTCATGCTACCCGCTGAAAGAAAAATAAAGGTCAATATGTACCTCCATTACAGCTTTCTGCATTTCAATATCAGGCCATTTTATTGCTGTTGCAGCACAGATGGCTTGCCTTTCTTCCTTACTTTTGGTGGAATTTGATTCTGTCAGCTTAAGTTGCATTATTTGTGTGGTGCGAGTGAGAAAAAATTGTCTTTTCCTGTTTGGGCAGTATCTCCAGCTGTGGTTTTTCAGATCCTTAATGGTTATTTTATCTTGCTTGTGTTCAACATCACCATCGTCAACCCTGTTTACAATTTTAGATCTAAGTGGTGGAAAAATCTAATAGAGCAAGTTTGTTCTTTGGGGAACATAAAATATACCTACCTAAGGCTATGAGCAGTACAAATACAGTTAGTTATTACCTTGTTCCAGCTTTCTCTTCTCTTTTCTGCTCAGAAATAGACAATTTTTCTTTGCTTTCAAGGCTGTTCACAGTGTAGGCTCTTCTCTCCTGATTCTGATCAGCATGATTCAAGCATTTTTTTGCTCACTCTTACATTTGATCATAAGAACCTTTCTGCTTCCTGGTACCATACACAAGGCAGCAGCAGGTTATTTTTCCAATCCCATTGAAACTCTCCTTTCATCATGATGCATGCCAAAAAGTTGTCACAGGTTAGGCTGATGATGGTCTAAAGCAGCTGTTTTATCAAGTCAATATTGTCAGAATTTTTTTGTTTATTATCTATGTCTCTGTACCCATGTGCGATATCTTGTTTTATGCACAGAACAGTTCCAGCGCTTTGTATAAATACCAAGTAAAAATAAAGCATCTAATGCAAAATGGCAGGAATCAGGATAAAGTATTATTCTTACTATATTCAAAGGATCTGTGCTATTTGTGTTACTAATTTTCATAATAAGTAACTAAAACTTCTCCTTTGCATATAAAGCTTGTGCAGAACATCAAGTCTGTAATGCCAAAGTGATCCAAAATCCAGGGAAATTTCTGTAGGATCTACATGTACACATCACTTGTTAAGAAAGTACAGAAGAGCATGATAAGTGCAAAGATTTCTTCTGTTTGTAATGTGCACTGAGATACCTCCTGCAGTTAGGTAGCCTGAGTGCTGTCAGAAGTATTTTAGAACACTGTTAGACTAAAACAGCTGGGAAAATTATGTGCTTTAAAACTACACAGTAAACGTTCAGACCAATGACATGCTTCAGTTTGTGAAGATCCCAAACATGGTATATAGCCTTGGACAAACAACCAAGACGAAGGGAATTCAGAGAAAAATATTACTGGAAATACCCAGTGGCAATGATATTAGCATTTAAAATGTCTATAATGTCATTTTGTTTTAAAATTTATAATAACATTTCTGCAAGGCAGTGATACTGAGATCAGTGGAAGACAGGCAGGATTCGAGTGAGAAACAGTTGAGACATATGGCTGTATGCTATACTGCTGGGAACGTTTCTGTGATTCAGAGAGGCCTCGAGGGAAGCTAACAAAAACTGGCCTTTTTCTGTAAACTGAAAATAAGGGAGAAAAAGGAGTTTCAGTGTGTATTTGTTTCAGTGAGTTGCAAATGGTGCTTTTGCTCTGCTGCCCCTGAGTAGAAGCACTGATTTGACTTACTCACATGTGGTTTTGTTCTGGATTTAAGTACAGACTGTTCAGAAATAACATGTGTTGTACTAAATTCCTGGTGCCTGTCTCAGGGCTCTGACACACCAGACTCTCCTGTGATAGTAATATCCTCTCTGGGACTTCAACTTGGCCATGTTACCCCACGAAGACCTCAAAGACAGCTCGTTAGCTTTTATGTGTGGTACAGTAGCATGATGTGCAAGCTGCTATTAGATGAGAGTCAATGTACTGATCCACATTGTATTCTTACGAGGCTGTCCTGCTTCTCACATGGTTACTTCATTAGTTAAAGGTCCTGGAATCCCACATGTCCCCATTTCCTGATTTTTAAAGCACAGCTTCAGTTATTAGTGAAATACTTCAGGGATTTTTGGGTTTGGGAGACCTCTGTGAAAATGGGTGACTCCCTTGGTGTCTGCTTCCATGTCATCTGCTTATGTGGTCAGAAGGTTTTTCATAAGTTGCTACTTAAAGCTTTTTAGGACACTGTCCATATGCTTTGAGGTGTCACACTGTCTGGTTCACAGCTGGATCATGGAGTTTTCAACTATTTGTGCAAAGATATCTTGGAAGTTAATTACTAAGTAAAGCTAGTCTATAAAACATGCATCATAATACACCTATCTTCCATTCTAAACACACTCAGTTCAGCAAATCCAAGAGGAGAACCACTCTAGGTAATCTTCTGGAGACCCTAGGGCCCACTGACATAGGGCCAATGTGTCTGCCTTCTTGCATAGATGGCTGGGGACCCAAGAGCAAAACAGTTTTATGTGAAAAAGAGATCAGAACCCTTTGGGGAGGGCAGATGGTCTTCTGGTTATGCTCTCCATGAGGAACCAGAAACTGTGTGCTCTATTACTTCTTGAGATGAGGATAAGGACACTTGCTAAATGGTTCAAACTGTAGCTTGGAGGTGACGAGAATAAATTACTTGTGGATGTTTTCAGCTATGATCTTAGGGCCCTAGAATGACAGTGTATGATATATTACATGAAGAACGTTCTCTTAGAGAATGGAAGCTGCCCATTATCCATATGGAGAGTCCAGCCCATTGGCATGGCTTAGAATAAGGTTCTCAACCTTTATATTTAACCATTAGACTTTTGAGCCTTCTAACTCTGTTTCCTATTGAGGGTCCAATAATCTTGATTAATGTCTTTCCATAACATGCAGCTCCAGGCTAAATCCTTCCTTACAGTGTATATCACAAAGGAAAATAGCACAGGAGATTTGTCAGTCTAATTAGACTTTCACTGTCAGTAAGACAAATAAAATTGTCTCACCCTTGGTCTTGCCTAGGTACTTTCTTCTACACTCATAGATAATAATTTGGTGGGGAAAGAAATTGGCCTTTAATTTAGTTTTTGCTTCTTATAAGTCACTAGTGACATTTTCATCCCAAGTCTGCAAAGCTCTA